TGTTTATATAATTCTGTTGCTCAGTGAAAGGAAACTGACTGACTGAGTTGATGAGTGTTAAATCAATGTTCGTTCTCAACTGGCTTCTTTATTACCGTTGCCGTTTCCATTAGGAACAGTTGCTGCATAACGGGGATTCATAAAAGTATATCTACCGGAAATTTGCTTACTGGTGGAGAAAAAAAGAAGTATTGGTAAAATCAGCAACTGGTAAAGCATCAAAAAAGTTCAATGCAGCAATAATTCTTGAAATTGTCTTAGCCTACGATAACATTTCAACTTTAAAATTAACAGGAAATTTGGTTCAGAAAAAAAATTTTTTTTTTCTTAATTCTTGTGAAGTGCAAAAACTTAATGCTAAATTGAAAATTGATGAAGCATAATGTAATTTGCTAATTTTTACCAAAAACTGAGGTGAATTCAATTTTTCCTGCCAATGACAGATATATTTAATTTGCAGTGATCTTTTTTCCGCTACAAATAAGATATCATACAAAACATTACTCCAGTGATAAATTTTAGCAAAAAATTAACAAAAAATAAAAACAATAAAAGTGTTCATAAAGAACAATATTCAGAAATTTTAGCAACAAGTCTTTCTTTTTCTTTGTATTTATTAAAAGATGATTGAGTCAAAGATATTCACCGTTAATTTGTAAACCTTAGCTTTCATCCCTCCCTTCTCTCAAAAAAAAAAAAAAAAAATCTTTGAAATTAAAAGATAAATCTATGAAATTACAGACTATAAAGGACTTTGACTGACTAAAAATCAGTTAAAAACTGCATAAATTATTCAACGATGATACTTTCCCAATAACAATAATAACAAATAACTTCGGCAATTTGTTTGAATAAATTCATTACCTTTTTTTCTACCTTCTTCAGCTGGCGGAAATGTAGTCATTGAAACCCGTAAACTTGATTTTAAATCAACAGCGAAACCTCGAATTGACGCAAAAAGTACTTTCACTCCAACTCAACCATCTAAAAAGGTCTGCATTTACAACTGTTCACTACGTTCATTCATTTTCCCATCAACAAACCCTTACATCATTGTTTTCCAGTTTTTAGTCGCTCAAAACTTCTAAGCATTTGAAATAAATCAAAATATCAAATACTATCCAAATTTGAGCATTAAACAGTATCTGTTTATTAGCTAATTTAGAAATTACTTTCTCCAAACTGACTACTCAGTTTTTTAGCTTCTCTGCAAAAATAAAACTGGGCATAAATCGACGCAGAGTTGAAAAAATATGTTAAAGATAAATGGGTATATCAAGAGCATAAAATTTTAAAAGCTTTAATTGAAACTATTCAGATATTGACACAAAAACTGCAATGGAATGCTTCATCAAAAGTTGGCTCGTTGGATAACGTAAAACATAAACCTGCCGGTGGAAACATTAAGGTAGAAATTCTTTCGTGCCTAACCGACAGAAAAAACTGAATTTAGAACTTGAAAAGAATAACAATGAGAAATAATTATTGCAGATTTTAAGCACAAAACTAGACTGGAAAGCAGAAAGTAAAGTAGGTTCCAAGGATAATATTAACCATAAGCCAGCAGGTGGCAATGTACAGGTTAGCTTTTAATCGTCCTACCTAACTGATTAATTACAGATTTGATCACTCTAAACTTTCATTTGGAAAGAAAAAGAATAATATTTTTAAATAATAATATTAAAATTTTGTGGCAATAATAACTGTTAGGTTAGCGATCAACAGACAGAACGAAACCACAGCATATTTTTCACTTGGACGAAATAGCTCCAAAAAAATTTTTAGATTGTAAATGAAAAACTGAAACTGGATGGAGTTAAAAGTAAAGTGGGCTCTCTGGAAAATGCTGCACACGTACCTGGAGGAGGAAATGTAAATGTAAGTTTCAAAGTAAATTTAAAAAAAAATTTATTTTCCCACTGGACTTCTTTTAAATTTACAGAAGTCCAAAGAGTGAAATAAATCAAAATTTTTCTTAAAAAACGTCAGCCAAAATTTTGAAGGAATTTATTGGCAGAAATTACCTGACACTTCATCATCAACTCCCTTTGACAACTTTCGTTAGCTTCAAATCATTTGGCAAAATCCATAACAATTCCCTATGAAGCTGAATTAGGAACCTTCCCCCCCCCCGCCCCAAAATTCTACCAATCACTTATAATTAAAAAACTGCAACAAGGAATGGAATAGGGAATAGTTGAAAATATTGAAAAAGACTGATGCAAAACACCTACAATACATCCTACCTACACGTATCAAGCAAAACATCAAAAATAATTATACTATCAAACAGTTAAATCCCTTGCACTTCCCACGCGATACCACAGCCTACCTGTCGTCATGACGCTTACCTGAGCAATACAGCCACTTTTGCTACAAAGTAACTGTTCCGAAAAGCAAAGGCACTATGGAAACATGAGACATTGCCGGTAAGCATAAATTCCATCAGAACTTAGGCACTTGATATACCCCACAACCCTGCTGGATAAACGAAAACACCTTAAGTCTCCGCGTAGAAATCAAAGTTGCCACTTACCGCAAAAGCAAAAATCACTATCGCAAACGCATTAAATCTAAGAATTCCTTATAGGGCTTCCACACAATACGCGGTTACAGCAGTTTTTTAAGAGGCTTTGTTTCAGTTGTTTTCTTTCAGGTGACTTCCAGGATACATTTCAAGCCCTGAGTTAAAGAGAATCAAGTGAGCAACAGGAAAATACAAAAATGACATACGCGCATCCATGCTTTTTTGAAAATCGCCTTGTCATAAAAACAACCAAGCGTTACACCAACAAAGACACCCTGGATATTACAGACATCTATTAAATTCGATAAATTCACTAGCCTCTTCCTCCTAGAACAATTTCAGCTTCCTATTTCACTGAAATATCATCTCTTCACAAAATACTACCACTCAAGAAAATTTGCAATAATAATGCTGCGCCAACAGTCTCGACAGACCTATTAGCATTAGAAGCAGAGTCAAAGTATGACCAGTGTAAATCTAAAGTTGAAAAGACGAACAAGAAAGCTACCCATTGCGAGACCCCAGAAAAAACCAGACAAAAATCAAAAGCAACAAAACGCTTTCAAACTCACGCCAAAAGCAGCATGAGGAACCAGCAAATGCATCAAAGCCCAAAACTTCACGAACACAATTTCAAAACTGTTAACGGACTTCACTTGTCTCCAAGGCTTCTCCACCCCACATCACCAGCTTCGAAAAATGAGAACAGAAAACATCAAGAGACTTCCATCTTAACAAACACTGCTCCTAACACTTTGTTACCTTTTCTCTTCGTATTTATTCCTCGTACTTTCTTCCTCGCATTTACTCACTTTTGCTTTCAGATCTCAGATTACCGAGTGGTAACGAAAACACCATCTGTTGGACGAACATCCAGAACCTCCACGAATAACTCAACAAATACAAGCCGGCAATCATCACTATCCAGGCAACATACGCGGACGCCCAATAAACTACCCGGTGAAAAGTACCCTCTGACAGCAAATCAAGCCCTTGGCCTATCATAACAGGATGTTCATTGCGCCAGAAAGGCTCAGACACAAGCCAACACAGTACAAATTACTCAGTACCCAAAACACCGCTCTATAAGCTGCGGCTGCCATAGTAAAACGATTTTTCTGGCAAATCCCGCCTCTTCCAGAAGCATATTGTACATTTGGGTAACCACAAATTTTATTGCACCTGAAATTACTTAAACGCTTCTGACAGACTAATAAAACTTCCAAAACTCGGATCCTGTCCTTCGCATGACCAAACATTAATACTACAATACTTCTGCAAAATACCACACTAGCACTCTTACTTCGGACCGCTACAAATGATTAAAGAAAATCACACATAAATCACAAACGCAGGCGGAACCCGTAACGATGACTCGTAAAAAGCCAAAGTTAGAAGGAAAAGCAACGACTCTAGCGAAACTTGTATTAAGCCGATGACCATTCAAATATTCGTAACTCAACATTAGTTAATCGGTTCATCAACAACACAAAAAAACCATTCCCGGGCAACATTATAGTTTGAGCTTAAAACAATACAGGTGTAAAGTGACATACCTACAATAAGACAAACAAAGCAGTTCAAACGATATACAACAAAAATTACCTCCATCTGATAATACCAGAGGCACATTATCTCAACAACAACAGATAAATCTCGATGCACTTTTGTACCACGCAGTAAAAAACACGAATAGAAAAAAAGTACAAAATAGTATACACATCTAGCAGCCATTATTCAAGCAAAAAAAAATTTAGGAGATCTCATTATGGAAAAAAAAAAGAAAAAGAAAAAGAAGAAAAAATCACTTTCATCCTCAAATACCTCTCTGGACGACGACCTCCGCAGAAATCAGGACTCGGCATTTAGAAACTGCATAAACCAGATAATATGTTACAAAAGTAAGAATTACAAAAACGAGACTGCAAAATGTAATAGACTCTTCAACCCTCTACCTACAATGCCCAGAAAAACAAAGATTATTTACATTTCATGGCCAGTAAAGTTGACTTGCAGCAATAACGACTACAACGTAAATACAACTAAAAATGCTGAGAGTAAAAACGACAGTAATAATCACAATGTAGCACAAATATAATGCAAAGCACCCAATATAAAAAATTAACTCATCTGACAATCATAACACAAGGAAACAAATAAATCTATTGAATGAATACTCGTAGTTTTCACCAATGAAATTAGGATCCAACAAATACATAATAATTACAAAAAAGCTCTTAAAATACTGAATAAAAAAAAGATGGAAATAAACTAATAGAGCACCTTAGTTGGAAGCATACTGCTTCTCAAGCTCTTCCACACTAATGCAATTTGCCTGCGGTGGTAAGCGCGAAATTATAGAAGGCATACAATGATTACCTGAAATTTGTGCCTTTATACATCAAAAACCAACTTTGTTGCTTTAAAATGAATGTGAAAAAATCGAACGACTATTTTTTTCTCATATGACTGACTTTGAGATTTCTCTTGTGTCGCTGTACGACTTGGCTGCTTCGTAGGAACTCCAGCGGATTGCAGTAATTTTTCTAACTGACTTTGATACTTATGTACATTCTGACCTGCAGTATTTGGAATCTGACCGATTCCTCCGCCAGCATATAAAGTAGGCTGTCCGCCTGCAGCAGACTGCTAAAAAAGCCACCTAATAAAATAAAAAACTTACAAAAATAAGTTTATAAACCATAAATAAGAAATGATTTTTATCCACGTTCAAGCAACAATACCTAAGACGGTAATTTAAACCGATATAATGAGCTAACAAGGCACAGAGAATAAAGCACATACATGACTTGGTTGAAAATGAATTGCCGAAGCTGCTGATGCATTTGCATTCAATAACCCAGAAGCAGCAGCTTGTTGTGAAAGTGCTCGAGCACGAATAGCCTGAGCTTGCCTCATATCATTGTGCATCAAAGCAAGTGCGTAAAGCCGCTGTTGGTCAGCCTGCGAAACAGCAACCGTTTGAGCGCGCCATTGCTGCAACAAGTGCGGAGGAACAGGCCATGATCCTGGTTGAACACCTGAACGCATAGCAGCCATTGCTTGAATATAATGTTGGTGTTGTAACAACTTAGACATAACATCAGGGTTGTTGCAGCTCACATTCGTCCCACTGCCTCTAACGTAGTCGCTTTCTGAAAAGCATGCGTAATAAATACAAAAAAAATAAAATAAAAAGTTCAAAAAAAAAGAACACACAAACATATAAAAAAAGTAGAACACTAATAAATTTTAAACACCCTCTATTCGCCCAAAATCAATCTTTAGGAAGGCTACTCTGAATTACCTTACACCATAAATTAAAACACTCAAAAGAGAGTTTACAGTACGTTTCTCAGAGGAGTCTTGCGACACAGTTTTATGTTTCTCCTCTTCAGTTTGAACGCTTCCTGAGGCACTAGAACCTGCCCTACGATGTTTATCCTCAATTGAAACATTATTTTTTGTCATTTGCCGCATAACTGATGTTGGCATAAATGCATTTGGCACAGCAGTAGTCGAACTTCGGGGCTGCGCGGTACTGCTTGTGGCCGAGGTATTAATCCCGCTATTAGCCGCATGTGAAGCGTTAGAGGAAGCCATTAAATTGGCAAGCATAGCCCTGTAATATTTGAGAATTTGGAAAACAACTTTCACGAGAGGAGCAAGATTAAAAGATTAGTACGTTTTATCATCCAACCAGACCAAAATCAATCGGTAAAATAAGAAATGTTTATAAAAAAACCATGACTCCCAAATTCCGTAAGTACTACAGAGAATTACTGACCTTATAGCATTGACTTCGCCTGGTTGAGAAGACGGCATCATTGCAGCAGCACATTGCTGATTGGCTAAGTGTAGATTCTTCAGAAGTGTTGCATCCATCTGTGAACGAATGAGCGCTGCTTGTAAAACAGCATCTTGCGGAGCAGCCCTAAATCTCGGGATCTCAGCAAGATTACCTCCCATCTGCCCAGCCATCAGTCCCACATGCTGCTGTAACAAAGGACTTGGTACGGAGGTCCTTGTAGTTAAATCAACAGTCCCAGCCAAGTCTTGCTGCCTTGCAAATTTATTCAATTTGTTCATGAGCTGCGCTTGTTGTTGAGGATCTCCTAGTGGGTTCCCCTTCGACATCTAAAAAAGAATTTGCAGGTAAAAATTTTAAAATGTCATGCAATCAGTTTCTACCATAGTACGTATAATGCCTTTTTTGGGGAAGCTTTTTGCAAAAACAAATATTACCTTACGCAACTATAAAACATTCTTCAGCAATTTCAAGGAAAAACATGATAAACAAAGTGTATAGAAGACTTGATGACAACTTGGAAGTAACACCATTCATTTATACAAAGGCAATAGAGACAAATTTCTCCAGCCCAAAAAATCTAAGAAATTTAAACTTGCGAATTAGCGGAACAAATACCTATTAATCAACGAAAAAATAGATAACAGAACAGCAACCTGACAAGAAGCCAACTGCTGATGTCGAGAAGTAGCAGATGAATGTGGGCTTACAACCAGATGATAAAGTTGCTCACTTCCATTTGACGTGACCACTGGAGCAACAGCCCCTCCACCTTTAGCTGCTTCCCACTGGAAGCCTTTTTCCAAATCCTCAGCACGTACAACGCCTGGCAGTGAAGCAGTCACTGACTAAAATTTGCATTTTCATGAAAGTATTACCACAAAAAATCCCATTAGTCAAGACAGTCAATTCTTATTACTAACTAATCCCACTTACAGGCTCTACATGCATAGGTGAGCTTTGAGAACATGCAAAAATTTTTCGTAATATTGAATTTGAAGAGGCAGAAGAATCGTCTGGTACAGATGGCACGCTTTCATTATTATTATTATTATTATTAGAGTCGCCTGGAGCGACCGACCTTTCTGAAATCATCAATTTAGTGAGTAAAAATACATCCTAAGAAATGCTCGAGTGTAAAGAACAAATTTTTGCCGAGACTTACGACTTGAAGACGCGTCTTTTTTATTCGTAGTAGAAAAGAAACGAGAGAGACGACTGCATGGTGCAGGGTCACCAGTGACAATGCTACCAGTTGACAAGACGTTCTAAAATTCATCCCTTACGCTTTGAATCAACATTTACAAATCAAAAAGCCTAACCTCCTTCAAAGAATCGAAGTCGTTCGTGTCAAGAAGCCCCATAATGGCAGCAAACTCTGCATCGGAATTCGGTAACTTACTAGACAACAAAGTTGTGGGTAAAACTGATTGCTCCAAAGCTTTATCTTTAGATGGTTCATCAGTTTTCAAGTGTAAAATCTGAGTAATTTCAGAAGAAGATGCTGTAGGACTCTTATTGGCATTATCTACATTAGGGGAAGTACATGAGCTCTCTCGCGAAACGGAATTAGACTCCATATTTAAACTTTTCATTTTATCGCTAGAAGCTTCCAATCTGTTTGCAACACTTGGCTTCCCTGAACCTGTTTTTTGTTGCGTATGAGATTTCGAAGAGGCTTCCTTTTTTGCCCTGTTACCCGTAACGCCTAAAAACTACTGATGATATGGAACTAACTTGAAAAATCTTGCAAAACAAATCTTTAAAATTTGTAAAACCAAAACTTAGAGCACTAAAAAAAGCTTTTTAATTTAGTAAACACCACAAGAAATCTGGAACAAATAACAGACTTCAAGACCCTCTATGTGTAACAAGATGTAAAAATACTTACGTTTGCTACTCTTACGCTCATCATCAAAACCTTTTAATTCAATCATGTCATGCATCGACGTTGGACCGTCTTCTAACCATTCAGGTACTTTCTCTTCACCGCTTAAACTGCTTACCAAACGATTACGGCTCTGTAACAATTCGAAAAATTAAAAGTGACTGTATGACTGTAATAAACTGCTTCTCCAACCGATATACAAGAAGTTATATAGGGAACTGATGCAAAGTTTACTGCTGAAGACTCTTAAGTAACTAGAACTAGGAATGAGTTATCATCACGCTATGCAAAAAAGAGAAATCAACATCAATAACTACTGATGCTCGCTTGCCATACATACTAATGCATTCACCAAAAAAAAAAAAAGTTGTAACATTAGGGCTATAACAAGTTACATCTTACCTGTGACTGGGTTTCTTTATGAAAACTCGGTTTGAAGCTTCCATCGCCCGCAGCACGTCTATTTGCATTACTGTTTTGCCGACCACGGCCAAATGTAGTGTCTCCACTGCCAGCAGTATTTTTCTGCTACAAATAGCACAACAATACATAAACCATAACTTCCACAAGAAGCAACTTAAGTTTGGGAAAGAACTCCACTAGATTACATCGACACTCACAAAAGAAGGCTTGAAATCATTTGTAGCTGTAGAGTTCTTCAGCATGAAACCAGCGCCGCTTCTCCAATTCCCTTTATTTGTTCCTAGCCTTTCCGGTTCCGCCTCTGCAAATTCTTTTAATCCGTGATAAGACAAAACCAGTTGAATGCACACGAGCAAACCTTGACTTGTGAGAAGAAGCCTGCCTAAAATCTTACCACTCTTATGCGGTGAAGCAGCACGACAGCCAGATGAAAACCCGCGCCGCTGCGGTGACAAAACAGTACAATTTCCGTCGAGCACCTCAGGCTTGATTTTATCTTTACGCCTCGGATTCGGATTTGGACGATTTTCTATTCCTTCAACCACCCAACGATATTCCAGCCACTTGTCGGGTTGGAACTTCCCATTCTCGCTAAAAA